GACAAACACAACAAAAGATGCTAGGAGATTTTAAAGAAATAAAGAAACTTAAAAAGACGCTATCCTCAGACAACCGTCAGAGCGGGTTCCTCACATGCATCGAATTTGTAGGTTAAATAAGTAAAGTGCATAGAACTAGCAAACCGATGGTCCACCACTGCAAGATTGGCCCAATTCTTCAATAGATGCTTCAAATCGACTCTGATACGACACCCTAAAGCTGCTTTACTTTGAGAAGAAGGATACAGATGGAGTAGCACTTGCGGAGAGACGAACATTCAGCATCGCACTATGCATTATACTATAATAGTGCATCACATTTACATGCTAACATATTGCACATGCATATAGTCGTAACATGCATAATGCATCATAACAAATGTGTCATTCAGTATGCAGGTTGTGTTATGCGCATACACATCGCATCATAGAAAATGCATTACGCAGACACGTTATTCAACCCGTAAAATGTATTACGCAGCAGCAGCGTGCCCTCGCTAGCATGTAGATACATTATGCACTACATGCAAGCGTCGAATTATCATGCAAATATGTTACGCGGGCAAATCGACGATGTATATATACATTATGCATGCATTTTGCTCAAATGTACTATGCGCCATGTTAATGCATTGCACTATGCGGGCAATTCGATCGGGAGGTTTTGCTGCCAAATTGCACCATTATATTACGGTCATAGTCAAATCCAATATGCTCCCCAGTGACGCTAAATCTTTAAATGATGAATCAATATGATATAATCGACAAAGCATAAAGCCTTATGTTAGCTAAGGTGGATTCAGATTTGTCCTCTTAGACAAATATTCATCCCAGGTCTACAAGGTTCCCTTGGACGAAGCAACCCATGGCTGCCGACAAGGATCCTTCTGTCAGGTTGGGTCGACTACCTCCTCTGACTAAGTAGACAAGGGACCATGATGGCCCGAGACGACGGAGCCATGGGATCTTGATCGAGTCCATCATCCATTCCCCCACCATCCGCTTTAAGTGCAAGATGGTGAAATTTTCCATTTTAAATATCAAACCCAACTTCCAAATCTCAAACCCATGCTGCTACTATATGCCAGATAACGCGTATCTCTATATATCTGATCGACGACTAGCCTTAATCGAAAGTTCTCTCTTGTTATCTGGAGGGGTAATTAACTATAGGGACTTGCGCCTGTAGGAAACCAAAACTCATATCATAAAGTCCTCGCAAAATAAGGGCTAAATCTCTGGGTAGTGTCTTATCTACAAACCCATCTGTCTTCCAAAATTTACCCCGGAACTTAATTCTGTTAAAACTCACTCGCCGAAGAAAAGAAGCAATCAGCAGGCGGAGGTCGGGGCCGAATTTTCGGAGTCCACATAAATATGAGAATAATATTGCAAAAATTTTAGGGTGGTGGTGTACGGCTTTCAAGTAATCGTCATTGATAGATACGACGATGTCGGCTGCAGTGAAGGCCACGTGCTGGAGGTAGAGGTAGTTAAGAGAGTTGTTGCAACTCGAATGTACACAAAGGCATAATTTATGTTAGTTTTAACCAAAATATATCTATACAAAGGATGAGGCGTAAGCCTCACACTAGCAAGGCGAGGCGTGCCTCAACCAAGCTTAGGCACAAGCCTCATAAAAGAAGCTAAAGGCATAAGCTTCGAAGCGTTTTTCATTGGAATTGGGTTGAGGGCCTCAAGGCAAGCCTCATATTGCACAATTTTAAACAATGCTCTCCACTAAAAGGTTTAGTGCAATACCTGAAGTGGAGGACTCCGAGGAGTGGAGGTAGGTCAAAGTTTGACCGAACCACCATAAATGCGCCGTGCTCGTTCTACTCTTCTTTCTGCATTTTATTTTCCTACATATTATATTCTTGCAAGCATTGTTGAGATTGTTGAACTTTATTTTGATTTGAACATTATTGGAAAAGAAAAAAAATTGTCTTCATATTTGTTTTTCTTCAAAAAAAAAATGAGCAAAAATATTAGTTTTATTAATTTATTTCGCTGAAGTTTGTGTAATTGGTTTTGAGATCTCAAAAGAAAATTTTGAGAAAAAATTTTAAAATAACAATTCACCCCCAACCCCCCAACTTTCTCTTGGTTTGCCTTAGGCAGTTCAAGTGGTTTGAAAACCCATCATTGAACTTTCATGAACTAGTTTACATACATTAGCATTACATCTTTAGAATCCAACATCAAATTGGTATCAAAGCAAATTTGCTCAGAAACTTCTCCTTGTGTTGAATTAAACTTTCTACACAAGATTGAGTTGTTAAGTTCATTTATATTTGTTCAAGATCCCATTATCAAAACTAAAGGAAAAACTAAAAATAATTATTTTAATAGGTCATTTACTCACTCATATGGTTGTGTTTTTAATTTTATATCATTTAAATATAATTCAAAAAATAACATGTGCAAGCATAAAATTTCTGTATTCTATCTTCTAAGAAGACTATATTTTCATTAAATTGTCATTTTTATATGATTTTACTATACAAATAGTCAATTTCAAATAGCTCAAAAAGATTTTCAACTTTCTAGTTGACCACTTTCTTTGGTTGTCTTTGAAAACTACAAATAATTTCAAACCCAAGAGCTCACATTGAAAAAAAACTAAATCCCCGAATTTAAAAACTCTGTTGCATTTTTTTATCCCAATAATGAATTACAATGGTTATTCCTATACAAATAAATCATATTCCAAATCATATAAGAATTCCCAAGTCTATTTTAGGATTTAAGATCTATATGTAGGTCTCCTGGTGTTATTCATCATGACATCTTTTCAAGTAGCATAATTCTATGTCTGCAACCAATTTATCTCAACCTAGTTCTTCAGAGTATAATCATAGTTGTAAAGAGGGTTATGTTGAGCGGATTCTTCATGGTCAAAGAAAGATTGAACACATTCATGCTACGATCAAGGCTGAATTCACAAAGTATATGCCTATCTTATCAAAATCTAAACATGCCATCCTACTCATGTTGATGAAGAATCCACAAATTCCGCCTCCATATCAATTGATGATAAGGAGACAATCTAAAAATGAGAATCTTTATAAAAATTGGGATGACTAAGTTGAAGTAGATTCATTTAAGATCATTGCTGCATAAGAAGTATTAGTCAAGTTTTATCTTGAGAAGCCTAAGGAAGTTGCACACCAACTTCCTCAAGGCCTTCTATCATTGCTCCATATAATTAAGTACCATGAGTCAGAGCATGATACAGCTCTAAATCCTATTTATGCTTAGATGTCATAAGCACAGTAAGTCAGCTTATAGAAAAGAACTCTTCCCTTCCAACAGAAGAGAGCAACTTACAAACTAAATTATAATACATGTCCCTTATAAAGCCTTCTATTTAAATGGTACATAGACCTTGGAATATGGACATCATCTTTGGTCCATCTCATACTGAGTTGATTAATGTATCCATTTTCACAATGAAAAATCCTACTCCAATATTGGCAGTCCAGTCTCTAAGCAAAAAATTTAATGCATAAGATATAGTGATTTATTTCTCTATAAATTCAAAGGACTTCAGTTTCCATCACACTAGCAGTTTGCATGTTCATTTGAGTCTCATTCTTTACTTGCACGGAGTATGCATAACTTTCACCAAATGATTAAACTAAAGATAGCCACGACATATGATAAGTTTAATTCTAGTGTTGATGTGCATAAACGATTTGTTAAATTTTGAGAGGGAGATATGGTCTTGATAAAAAGGAGTTAAAAAGTTTCCCAGTGAAACTCTTAGAAAGTTGAAGCTAAACAAGCAAGATCTCATAAAATAATTAGGAGGTAAGTTAGAATGCTAATAAGGTTAATCTTCTAATGGATTCTAAGATTTCTCTAGTTTTTAATATTATAAATCTTACTTTATATTATGAATCCGAGATCATACTTCTTCCAATACTATTGATACTTTCACTTGTACTTCCAATACTGACTTGGAGGTAGCATCCGTGATTACATCTTCACCGTCACCATGGTCTGACTTGATGTTTAAGTTCTTACGCAAGATGTAGAGCCTGACTTTATTAACCAATGTAGTGCATTCATGCCTCTCAATGATCATGGATAACATGAAGCAACTACGATAGGCTTTCCTCATCTTCCCATTATGCTTTAGAGCTTCATTTACGAAGTTGAATTCTTTGAAGTCAAGGGAGGGTCCATTTTGGAGTCCATTAGTATGAAGAGGATGTTGTCATTAGTAATTATCCGTCACTTTTATTTTGATGTAATTTCTTTGAATCCATATCTTATGTATTAGAATATATTTGATTATGTTTATTTTCTTATGTACTTCTAATTTAAATCTTTGTGATTATTCTATCTTTGATTCAAGTTGTGTTTTGAGTATATATGTATCAGATCATTTCTTATGTCAATTGCATGTCGGGCCTTAATATTATTGGGTTCGGATGCCTCTCAATGATTATAAATAATGTGAAGCAGCTGTGATAGGCTTTCCACAGGTCTCCTTATGCTTTAAAGCTTCATTATACGATGTAGAATTCTTCTGAGTCGAGGAGAATGATGAGATGCATTTGATGCTGTCGCCAATAATTATGTGCAACTTTATTCCCACCTTAAGAGGGCTTCTCAACTGTGAGTTCACAACTCTTGAAGGCTTTCAAAGAAGCCTGATTCAATCTATGGCGAAGGACTGTTCGTAGATGACAATCTTGGGTTATCATAAATTATATATTTGGTATCAAGGCTCCCATAATATCTTCTTTCATTAACATCTCATTCTTGATTTATAAGCTCATTAAACTTATTTTTGAGCTCATCCTATCTTGCAAAAAATACCCAAAAAAAATATCTTAGGTTCAACCAATGTTCATGATAATTAACCAATATCCAGTAATATTGTTAGCTAGCCTAATTTAATCGGTCAATGAAGAAATATCTAACATACTTTTGCATTACATCCTTATTACCCTACATCACATATCATCTCTTATGAGGAAAGGAAATACCATTTAGAGATGAAACTCCAGTGTACCAAGGTGGTTTAAGTCTGAGAGGGAATAGTGATGGATACATTGGAAATGTTGTCAAAGGCTCAATTTCCCATAAAGATGCTCTAGGTTGTCTGTCACCTGCAGTTGATTCGTCCCAATTAACCTGATTTATTCATTATAATGGTAAAATCAGATCAGCAATAAAGAGCAATTTATTATGTTCAAACATGAGGATGATAATCATGAACAAAAAAAAAACATTTATGCAGATGACATTGAACAATCAGGCAAGAACTTAAAAACATTTATGTAAAAAAAAAACATTTATGCAGATGACATTGAACAATCAGGCTAGAACTTAAAAGCCCCATTTTAAGAAGTGGGGTGGATGAATGAAAAACATGAAAATTGTAAATGCTACAGTATTGCACTATATCATCAAGTGTAGGTTAAAGAATCAAATAGTGAGCTTGACGTGTGATAAGCATAGCTGATGGAATTATGCGCTAATCATTAAAATAAGGGATAGGATTCATATAAATACTACATTCACAAAAGTGATGCCATTGAGCATAGAACAGATACTCTTTTTTTTTATTCCCATTTGACTTGCTCGTTAATGCTATAGTCAATAAATTTCAATGATAAATTGAATGTGCTTCAATGAATACTACAGCATTCTTTCAAAACCTCATAATAAAGCACTTTATTAATTGTATATGAGGGCTCTAAATATTTGTGCCTCGACCTCTCCGAGTCTTTTTACGCGAGGAGAATTTTAACGATGATGTTATGGGATAATTTTTAGAAGGAAAGTAAGATTTAAGATAAAACACTACCCATAAATTCCACCCTCATTTTAAGATAACTTTATGATATTGTTCTAAGTTTCTCATATGCCCAACTTAATTATACTCCCGATAATGAGGTAAAAAATTTCAATTAAGACTAGTTGTTAGATGAGCATAAAATGTCCAGCATATAATAACATCAATTTTAGGGTATAGATTTTTTTAGGTTTAAAGTTTGTCACTGTATGCTTAAAATGGATGGTGGGAGAAATGAAGATGTACCCAATCAAGATCTCATGATTCCATTGTCCTAGGCTGCCATGGTCCTTAGTTTACTAAGAAGAGATAGTCGACCCAACCAAACTAAATGATCTTTGTTTCCAGCCATGGGTTATTTTTTCTAATGGTACCTTATATACTTGGAGTAAATATTTATCTTAGGGGATATATTCGAGCCAACCTTAGCTAATAGAGGGTTTCATGCCCTATCAAGTATACCCTATGATTCATTACTTAAGAGTTTGGAGTCATTGGGGAATATATAGGCTCTAGTCATAGTTGTAAATTTAGTGGTACCATTTCATGAAAAAACCACTCAATCATAAAGCCTCGGTTATAACGATTCACATTTTGTGTCATTTAATAGAAAAACCACCTATTAGAAGTATATTCATAGGTGAGATATATTCTTCAGACACATTGATATCTTGAGATAGGCGAAGTTTATGACAAAATACACTTCAATGTTTAGCTTCAAGGGAATTCCCCCTTTGTGAATCCAAAAACTTGAGTTTTGGTATTCAACCACGAACACCTGCTCGATGTGTTCTAAGGAGTTAACTATCGCAATATAGGATTTGCAACTGATTTTAATCTAATGATTTACCGTCGTTATAATGAGTATATTCCTCCAAATGACAAGCTCTTTCACAAGAAAACTTCTGCTGATGGGAGTAGAAGAGGAGACTTGGTTTTGCACTATCTTTCCAAAAATACTTGGACACTATGAGCAATTCTACATGATGATGTAGATGTCCATGTGCGTAGTCCAACATTGCAGTTAATATCTAGATTCACAATTTCATCAAAGAGGATCAAATAGATAAATGCATTGCAGCAAAGCATGAACTTTTCGGATTTCAAGTTGAACGTTATGATGGCTTGTCGCAACCTATCCCTGGTATAGATGAGAAGCTACTTCTGTCAGGATTTTTAGTGACAAGACTATGTACATTTATTCTACCTACTAGAAGGATTTATCCGAGCTAGCACGCAAAATCAACTTTAGAGCGAGAGCGGATAGGACTATTCTTCTTCATCCCTCATTTGTAGCTGGCAGGTTCTCTTTAGTGCACCAACCCAATATAAGTAGTCTACTGGACAATATGACCGAGGTCGATATAGTTAATGCGGTTGACCGTCGAGGTAAAGGCACTTCGCTTTACAAAGGTCGTTGAATGCAAATAGTTGAGTAATTCATTAGCATAAAGACAGGGTGGTTCTATTACCATTTTGATCATTCAGAGGTTTTGGAGAGGTGTCAATCAAGTAAAGTTGCTCATCAATTTGGCTTCTACTAGGCGACTTCATATGATGAGCTATACCACTTCTTCCTAGAGTGACTAATATTAGTCATATACGCTCAACACTTTTAAAGACCAGGATGTTCACTGCAATGATGATGTGGGTGCACCTGCTCAAGCCTAGCATTGGGTCAAATTTTCGATTAGATCTTTAGAAAATGTTACATGGGAGAGTTATGCTCGATTGAGATGAGTTTGATTGTCCTTTACAGGATCCATGGAGCACAACACTCGAAGATATGAGCATTAGGTACGCACTTGGGGAGTTCCTTGAAGTCAGAGATCTCATCGTGATGGCGTATGAGTAGATGGTAGTAGAGGTACACAAGCATCTCCTTAAATTCATTCTTTTACTTTGTCTTTATTTATTCCCGCATACATTTGAGATCAACCATCATTTTCTCTTTTCCTTTCAAAACAAATAAAGGTGACAGAGATCAAACTGTATTATGAAAAGATAGCCAATCAACTAAAGTACGGGCTCGAGAGCCTTCTCCTATTTATGTAGAGGTACATTCTCCAGCTTATCAGCACGGATGCACTCATTTTGCAGAGCCACCTCGAGCTTCAAATGATTGGACAGGGAGTTAAACTCTGTAGCAGCTTCCGACTCATGAGAACAGATAGTCAAAGTCTAAAATGTCCATTGATATCGACCACATCATGTTCAAAAACTTCAAAGCACGCCCATTGGAAACTTACACTATAGATCCGATCACTGCTAATATGGGAGGGCCTTCAATAGACTTGCCTTTTTTCTTGGGATAATTTTATCACTTCATGGGTTAGAGAGATATTAGAGCCCAAAGAACCAGCTTGCATGGACACCTATAGCATGCTTGAGTATACCTTGATGGTCTTTTAGACATTATACTAGCCTCTAGCCCTTCCCCCTTCGATAGTCTTCAAACTCCAATTGATGTATTTGGCCCAAGTACATTTTACTCTCTTGCTTTACTTTAATTATTTTGTATTCATGTTGACTCACTTTTTACTTTGCATAACAATAATTTCCTCATTGCTTTGCATAGCACTCGTGGAACTAGATTATCAATATGAGATCCACTACTGATATTCCTCAACTCGTGACTTGAGGAATAGGTATATATAGGATAGCAGCTTGAAATTATTACGATAATTGATTTCAAGGTTAAATCCAAGGTCTCCTGAGTCATGGGATCAATTTATCATCTTCTTTATCAATTGATTTCAAAACTTTTGATGTTTATGCTTCAGCTTTGGAAGGCTATGTCAAAATGGCTTCTTTTAGGATAAAATATCTAACATTTTGATAAATTTATATTACATGCACTGCAAAGGGATTTATATCACCAGAAATCCTGAGCTCTTCTCCATCTTTGGAGTAATTCATACATTGTTGCTGGTTGACAGAACAATGTCGTGCTCATGGAGCCATAGCTTCCTAGAAGTGCTTTGAAGTAGGTGTTGGAATCAATCACACAAAACTTGAATTCTATGTAAAGCTTCCCAAATTTGGGAGCATGAATTATCCTATTGTTTTTTTCTCCTTCTCAATGAATCTGTGCAGTGTGCACCATCACTTTATCTTGCCTGAGCTGCTAAATATCAACAAACAGCTAACTATCTTAATATTCAAAGATTCATGAGATTTATTAAGGAAACTAGGTCAACCAAAATACAGTTTATCATGGCATTATCATTATCAACTACAACATATAGTGGACGATTATACTCTGTCATCAGTATTATAAGATCATCGTCAGAGAAAGTAATTAATGACTCATTCTGAGCTCATAAAACTTTGATCAAATAGCATTCATCAAAATATGCTTCATATCTCTCATAATCCTTAAGAGCCTAAATTAAAATCTCATAGAGATTTTTGACATCAAATGGGGTTCATATACATTGAGCAGTACGGGAATCTTTTGTAAGTGAAACAAGATGTTTGCCTGAAATAGATTTTTTCTTAGGATCTTTGAGAATGATCTCCTCATCACTCATAATGTTTGTCTTTATCTTCATTTGGTAGTCCTTTCTTCAATAGAGGCGGTAGTATTTTGCCACTCCTAAATTGGATCGGGATCACTTTGTTTGAATTAGATTCCTCTGATGAAACAACTTCATCAAAATCGTCCCCTATCATTCTAGAAGATTGATTATAACACTCAGAATCAATGCCCAACTTCATAAGCTGCATTTGTGATTCCACTATAGATTCTAGCTCGCTCCCATCAAGAAAGCATAGATTCTCTAAGCTATCATTTGTCTATAACACCATTAGATAGTGCTCGATTGTTACTTTGCTAGGTATTCCTCTATCTATTGAGAAAAATCTATTTACATTTCTTTTGCACTTTGTATTTATTAGAGCCACTATTGCTCAATAACTGCTAAGGATTTGAATTATTCGTCGATAGGCATTTGACATCACAAAGATGACTGGGCACATATCAACTGGAGGAAATTCTTCAATTTCATCCCCTTCATCTTCTTCTTATGCCTCGATGATTTGAAGTTAAGAAATGAGGTCAACATGCAAGCCAAATAAGCTGTCTTGCAAACTGATGAAATTCCTCCAATTATTTAAAAACTTGTGTTATAGTTTTCTTCTTCTTAGATATTATTGTCTTGATTTTCTTTTTAGGGATCCTTGGAGTTTTATCGAGCTGTAATGAGCTTGCTTAGCTAGGATGACCCTTAACTAAATGTTTAGAAGTAGATGCATTTGAGTTTGATCATCCTTTTAAATCGAGATCTGGTTCAATTGGAGACTTCCACTTGACACCAATAACTCCTTCAACTTA